CCTCTCTTTGTTTCATGCCTGGTTGAGCTCATAAAAATCCATTTCCTCACATGGGCTGTTCACAAGTTCTTCAATATCTCCAACATTTCTCTAAGTGGGTATCTCCCTAAAACATTTGCTCCGCCAGCCACATAGGAAGATCCTAATTCTTCCTCATATCTTTGCCTCAATTTCATAGCGAAGTCTGTTGATGACACCTCAAAGACTCACAGATTAGCTTTTTGTGACAAAAGCCCATTTAGGCCACAAAAGCCTATGTCATGATAAATCTGTTACTTTACTAATTAGTGGAAGTCTCCCTTTGTGTAACTGTTTGTTAGGTAATATATCTGGCCCTTTAAGAGGACACAAGGTGATCCCTGTTTCACCTGTCAAATGCTAAAATGTACAATTTGGTAGCTGCTCTGGAGCTATAACACAAGCACAGCGGTTCCCATTCTCTCTGCTAGAAGGAAACGCATAAAGTGTCCACCTAAGATGGTAGATGTTGCAGATGCATTGTCCCAGTAAGATGTTGGAGGACCGAGCTGTGTGTCTTCCCTGAACATGGGCTTCTCTGCATCTCCCAGTTAGCTTACAGCAGTGCAGTGGAACATGGATGGGGAGCCTCTTTCTGCTCAAAAGCATAATTAAACTTTGGAAAAGCTCTCAGGGCCACATTCCAGTGATTGATCAAGCCAAAAGCAGAAATGAGAGAACCAGTGTGGTGCAGAGGTTAAGAGTTAGGGACTAGGACTCAGGCAATCCAGGTGGTTCTAGTTCCCACTTAGCCTTGGAGCCAACTGGGTGACTTTGGGCCAGTCACAGATTCTCAGCCCAGCCTACCTCACTGGATGGATAATGAGGGGATAAAATTGAGAGCAGCAGGAAAAGAATGGTGTAAGCCATTTTGAGTTCTCATTTTAAAAAAGGCAGAATATCAATCCAATAAACAACTAAATAAATAAGAGACGAGGCCAAAAACACAGCAAAACAAGTACCAGCATGAGGAAGCATAAGCTCTTATTCCCAGTAAACCAGTCATTTAAACCTTTTAGAATGGGAAAGGGGGAACCTGGGAACCAGCAAGCCATCTGTGGACAATCAGGGGTCATCTGGGGTAGGCTGTTTTCAGCCAACAAGCCTGAACTTTTCCATCCTATCTGCTCATTGCTCATGCTAAGCTAGGATTCAGTGGTTGTTGATTTTTCACCTCAGCCAAAAAGTGTATAGCGGCAGCCTAGTTGCACAGACCTACAAATGTTACTGCTCTGTATTAGCATTATATTCTCCTCTCCTAAGAATGGTGTCCAGGCAATACTAACACTGGAAAAATAACAGAAAGGTACGTGTGGGCGGGGAGGATTTTCTTCCCTGGGAAAAGTTACCCCACTTCACTGGCCCACTTGTCAGGAAGCTGTAGCTATTCCCACATCTCACTTTTCTTCTGTAAGCTGCCAGCCCTTCTTTGGAGAGGAAAAAAATATTGCTGTTCACACGTCCATGGGACAAAAGAAACCAAATGCACTTCACTAAAACCTTTCGGTGATCTGTATCCTTGGCTGTACACAGTAATGGAAAGAGGGCCTTACATACTTCCAAAGCAAGGAGAAAGGTGGGTGGGGGTTGAGCATGTATTAACTAAAATCAATAAGCTCTTCAAAGGCAGAGAGATTCCAGTTCTCTGAAAGCCTGTCATTTCCTGAAGGCCAAGAAAGAGTGTGGCAAAGGAATCAACGGTCACGTGCAGTGAAAGGTTTGCTGACAGTTTGTGCTGGACTCTGGGCAGACAGACACAGATCTGGGCCCTTCTGGACTCTGAAGATTAATGACACAAGTTGGTCATGGGTATTTATTTATATTACATTCATATACTGGCTTTTCCCTCTTGCAAGCAGACTGTTGCTGCTTTGCATGATTCACCTTCCCTTTTTTTTTTTGCATTGAATGGCCCAAAGTCATCCGGTGAACTTCATAACAGACTAGAACCCAGATTTCCTGTGTCCCAAAACAGTAAACATTATACCATGGGGGCATGTATACTTTCAGAGGTTTCCTGTCTCTGTCAAATCAACTGATCATTCCATGTAAAGGAGGAACCTGCCGTGACTGCATTCTCTGACATGCATAAAATCCCCAGCATATAGAAAATTACCGTATCTTCCAACATCTCACAAAGAGATCAAATCAGCCAGGGATGGGGCAGAGGAGGAACATTTCAGGTTCAGTTCTGCTCACTTTTTCATTTTTCCTACATTAAGCTTGTTCTGTCCTCATGTCACATCAGGCATTTTTTAACCAAGACAGTATAAAAATGTGCATATATTTTGGTGCATTTTTCTTAATCTATAGACCTATTTTTCAAAATATGCATATTTTGTTCACATTTTCCTATATAAACACAACTTCTGTAATTGATTTTCCTAAATGCGATGTGTTTTGTGCAAGCTTTGTTGCACTTTTGGCTATGCTACAGAATGCCCATAGTATATGCATTTTTGTGTATATTGTCTGATCTGAAAACTTCATCACAAAGTGTGAATATTGCTGAATCACTGCAACATTCTGGTTCACACATAGGTTAAGGGACTTTGGTAAGTTTGTATTAAAATGGGAACCCAACGAGTTTCTCATTTATCCTTTCTTATAACACCCCAGTTCTCAAATCCTGCATGCAAGATAGTGTGTAGTCACACAAAAATTGTATGTGTGTATTAGGAATCATATCCTTGGGTTGAGAATTGGGGTGTTATTTCTGCCTCAGCCTTCTTTTGGCAATTTAAAAGCCAGGAAGATTTTTGTTCTTTTTAAAGAGGAAGACTTAAAACACAATTGTCCTACTACTGTAGGTTATGAGCTGCTGAGAAATGAAAAAGCAGGGCTTAACTATAAATACCTAAATACCTCAGTAGCTGCAGTAGTTGTGAAATGGCAGAGGAGGTCCACTGCTTAGAATCACGGAGATAAAATACCCACATTGGCCATGAAGATTATGCTACCACTCTCACCTCAATTGGTGTGTTCTAAAGCAGATGCCCTCCAGATGCATTGTACTACAATGCTTATAATCCCCCAATGTGTAGGTCAATGCTTGGGGATTATGGGAGTTGCAGTCCAAAAAATCTGCAAGGCAACAGTTTGCTTACCTTTGTTCTAAACCCATCATGATTAGTACTATTACTTTGCATTAAGAGACCAGCCAGCTACTCTCTGTTCTATATTTTAAGTCCTATTGACCTGAGAAAGGAAAATGAACCCTGAAGAAAATATATCCACCAGCAACTTACTCTGATATAATTGGGAACAAAGTAGGGATGGTGTGACCCTGGTAAACAGCTTCAGTTTGGAAAGAGGAATGTCGGGCAACGGGGTTCTAACTAACTTCCAACACCGTTTGGGATTAGCCGCAGCCTGTGGAGAGCTGCAGCCCAGCCACTTAGTGATAATGACTGTCAAGGCTGTACTTTTCTCCCTCCTTCCAGGGAGATTCAGACAATGGCTTTCTAACTCAGAGCTTTAATATGTTAATGCAAGCCAGTCCGACTGGCTGAGAAGTACCAACAGAATGTACTTTAGAAGTCTGTTGTGAAAGCAACAAGCATAGTTAGAACACTGGCATCAAAGGACTGTAACCTATTGGTAAGACATTGACTCTGAACTGAACACTTCTGCTCCCACTCAAGCACTAATTACTAACAGATACCTTTATAGCTGTCTTTTTCTGCACAGCCAGTCATTTGGCACATTTGGCTTCTCAGTTGGTCAGCCATCTTAAGGTCATGGACCCTGGCATTAGTGACACCTGATCTTCCCTTCCTCTCATTAGCGGTCTCACTTGGCTTTCCCAAGAGATCTGAAGCTGAGTGACTCTCAGCTTCCACCTGGGTTATTTCTGGGTCCCCTGCTCTTGGCACCTCAGCTGAAAATTGCAGCCTCTCCTCCTTCTTGGACTCACATCCACATCCCTTGAAAGCTGTTCCGGCAAGAACATTGGCCCCAAGTCCTTTGACCCCTGGTGTGTGATTCTTGACCATCTCCATTCAGCATGGCTTGCTTCCTTCTAAGCCCTTCAGAGAAAATCTTGGAAAGGCTCCTTTTTCCCCTAATAATCCTTCAAAGCAGCCCAAAGGGCTGGCAAAATGCAATGGTTTCCCTTAAGTTTCCATCTCTCTCCAATACAGGCTATTGAGAATTCTCAAGCACTCCATTTAAAACAAATGTCTTCCTGCTAAATGAGTCAGAAGAAGTAAAAAATGATTTATCTGATTTATTTATCATTTATTGTATATTTAGAGTACATAAATGCAATATTTTATAGCAGTTCCATAACTATTATATAAATGCATACTACAAATATAATTAATATAAAGGCTATCGATATTATATTTATGTCCCAACTTTTTTCTGTAAGGAGCCCAAATTGCAAAATCCTTTTTCTTCTCTCCAGCTGAATTTTCTGGAATCAGTTGTGCAGGCTTTAAATATACTCAGAAGACATCAGTGTACAGTAAGAAATCACATTAACCCCAGGAAGTGTAGTTTAACTCTTAGCTTAAGCTGAGAAAGCATTCTTCCTCTAAGATTCTAAGAATTCACGTCTGAAGGCAACAGCTTTCTGCATTTTCTGTTATTCTTCCCCTTCCCCAATACAAGCACACTTGGATAATTTTGGGAGTATGTCGCATGGGAAGGGAGGAGGCATTTGAGCAATACAAGTCAAGCTGAAATTTGGAATGGTGGTGGACTTAGCTTGCAGCAGCTCAAGAGTTTCTGCACTGGCTGAAATCTGCTTGAATGCTTCTCAAGATGGCATCATAATTTTGCATTTCTGGGACCCAGCCTTGCCCTCAGAGCAAAGGCTGCACATGAAATCTGCTGAAGGTGCTCTGGAAATCAATAGAGCTTGTGAGCTGACCTCTGCCACCCCCGTATTTGTCCTCAAGAACTGCATTCAATTGTACAAGAGGGCAACAAGGCAGCATAGCTGGATGAAGATGGAAGCATGAATGGCAGTGACTCACCACTGGAGCTCGGCCTTGGATGCTGAGATAGTAAAGGAGACCCTTCGTGTGGTAAATGGTGGGCTGGCACACTGGATCAGGGTTCAGCCATTGCCTGTTCAAGTCATCCCCGCTCAAGGAGCACCGCTGGCTGGAATCAAAGAAGCAGCAGCTAAGAGTGAAAAACAGTTGACTTTGACAGTGGAACCTCCTCTTAGGAGTTGTGAGCTTGGCTTTTGCTACTGTTTGTCCGCCCGCTCCACTTTTGCTTTTTGTGGGAATGAAGGAAGTTACATCTCCAGAGGGGTTGATTTTAGAGGAGCCTTGTTTGCATGGTAATCGTTATCCTTTTCTTGGAGTGCCAAGGCCTATGCAGCTGGAGATAACAATATTGGGAGCAATCTTGGGGTGTGCTGAGTGATGCAAAACAAACCCCCATTACTTCAACATGCTCTGCTAACATCTGTACCTATGAGATACAGCACATGGACACTGCATGAAAGAAGCATAACTAGAGCAGGGCTGTAAAGGACAGTAGCCTCCTGATGCAACCTGGACCTTCACAGAAAGCAAGAGTGCCTAGCATCATGCATCATACAATAGGTGCAATAGAATGCAATTAAATTCATCAATGCTTTCTTCTGAGGTGGAGAAAGGAAAGCTAGATGTTAGATTGGTCAAAGATTTATGGATTAATTGATTTACTCATTTATCCTTCTTCTATACTGTTTGATATTACAAGATATGTAAGCTGCTGACATAAGACATACATGTGATGCAAGTAAAAACCCAGTACCAAAGAATACAAAAAAATAAATACAGTGAAAACATTACAGCAACAGTAAAACAAGACTGTGAATTATGCTTTAGGGAGAGCCCGAATAAACAGGTGTGTCTTCAAGAAATATATATAGTTCACCACAGTTTTCAGCTGTAGGAGAACACAAGTGTTCCAGAGGGTAGCTGCCACTCCTAAAAGGGCACTCTTAGGTGTCATTACTGGACAACAAGCTGTTGGTTGCAGAATGCCAGCAAAGACCTCCTCAGAAGATCTGAAGGGTATATAAAAGGAAAGGCCAGTTGCTTGGTATCCTAAAGGATTCCTACTCTTTCAACAGAGGGGCCCAAGTAAGAGCCTTCCACCCAGTCAATGCCTTTCGGCAAGAACCATGTAAATGAGAGAAATGGCAGAGGACTTCCTACCCATTGTGAGTTTAAGTAGAGATACAGTTCTTGGCCCAAAAATTGTGAGCAGTTTTGAGGAAGCCAAAACCACTTCCCATGACTCAGCCTGCTTTTGACAATCACATCAGGAATATATCAAAAGCCCATCAAGCACAAATGGAACGTGTTTTCCAGTGTTCCGTATCCCTAGTCAGGCTACGAAGATGGCAGCTACTGCAGCTTCTTGTAGTTTCTCCATCTGCAGCCTAACACAGCAAACCACATTCAGACACTGAATGCAGCTCCTCCAAGAATATTGCAAGGAACAAATACAGTCCTGGATGCTTTTTCATACAAATAATATGAACAGTCATGATGACTGTTTATTATGATGACTTTCATAAAAAGGATTTGACAAATTATGGCCTCTTGAGTTCCATTGATGTCAATGGGAAATTTAAGCACATGCTTAAGGCTGCTATCTTATCAAACAAGTGAGAATTCCTGATGATTCCAGTAGGGTGTACAATGACTAAACAGGTGTAGGATTGCACTGTCAACCTCACCTATAGAAACCAATGGGCCCTAAAAGGACTTAAATGGTACAATCATGCACAGACTAAGACAAGTATGTTGAGTCTCTTCCAACCTGAAGTCCATTAAATTGAAGTTGGGGACCACGTTTTGGAGAGAGAGGAAACCATTGTTGAATAGGCGGCACCAAAGAGTCCAGCATATTTTAGTCCACTTTTCTTATTGCCAGTACTTTGGCATTTTAACCTTTAAAAACTGGGGGAAACAGCAAAAGGCCAGGGAAGTTCTAAATGATTCCTGGTTGGTGGAGAAAAGGGGGGTGGGCTGGCAAAGGAGGAGTGGCCACCTGAGGCATTCTCCTGGATTGGAAGGCCAGGAGGGCCAGATTCATTCCCTGAGTTTGCAATCATGCCCTCCAGAGTATTAAAGATAATCAGGCACATACACTCCAGGGAGCCTCCAGCTTCAAGAACATCATCTTTCAAGTCATTGCCTGCAAATTTCCAGAGGGATCTGCCTAGCTGCTCTCTGAAACAAAACAGTGGACCAGGTAGCCCCCAATCTTACTTGTGAAACATGGGTGGTGACTTGTTCAAAACCGGAATCATTTTATCCCACGGTGGGCAGGTCCTGCATGCCAGCAACTCCGAAGACTGTCAGAAACAGGACCTTTAATTTCAGTATCCAAGGACAGGAGGCTTTTGCATAACACTGAGACAAACTATCACTGAACTATACAGCCTGTGACTACCGTCTGAAGGGACTCAAGTCTCCCTGGCAAATAAACTCAAATCATATTTTTGTAAACTATTAATGGTACATAGCAAGCACAAGTTATGAACATTTATAGATTGCCAGCACTATTGAGGATTTTATCTCTCATTCTGCATAAAGCAATTTATTACATACTTTGCAGTTTGCTTTGTTGCCATTATAACTCCTTAATTTAAAACTTTTTAAAGAAAATAAAAAAGAAATGTGCTTGAGGTTTGCTACAGCATCACAAGCTCTGCTACTGCTTTGTTCCTTCCCTTGAATCTCCTTCTTGACCCTGTAATTTAAATTTTCTGTCCTCCTTACCATTTGCTTTGTAGAAAGTAACACATTTGCTTTTTCCTATAGCTAGTGAACTGGAATATGCTAGGATGACATCAGTTAATGAAAAATGTCCATCTGACCCAGACTTAAATATGCCTGTGGTGACCACCATCTTTGTGATGGAATCCCAAGAGAGGGATAATGTCTCTTGAGTTCAGGACATGGCAACCTCAGAGGTTGGCAGGTTGCATGGGCCACTACAAAACCCTGCAGGGGCCACACCAAAAATAGCTGCCACTGAAATTGGAGTGGTTCTACAAAGAAACAAGGGTCCCAGGGAGTGTGCCTCTTGCTTACTTGCCAGATCTGGCTTCCAGTTTTGAATAGCTGTTAGCAGCATGTGCCTGCACAGAAACAGGGTATATGAAAGAGCCAGCCCTGCATGCCTTGATTCCTCAAACTGGAGACAATATGTGGTGTAAACTCATGCCTTTGCAAGCTTCCAAGGTCATTTACAGACCAAGGTATGCTTCGGCCACTTGCGTACATTGAAAACTGCACACAAACATGCTCTAATCAGTGGGAGAGGCATGTGCACCTTTCAAAGACATGCTCAGCTGATTGGGAAAATGCACACAAAGGTATACATGGAGTTATTGTTTGAAAAGAGAAAAAGCCAGTGCTCACAATCTGACCCTGACTCAAGTCAGAACAAGCTTTGAGATGGGATTTGCAGAGATTCAGCAAACCTGAGTTTTACTGATTTGAGCATCCCTAGCCTCAACAGCCTGCCAGGAAGCTACTGAGCCTGTCTTCCGGGAAGGTGTATCCTTCCCATGCATCCATTTTTCCAATGAAATCACTGTAATTTTAGTGGCAATCGTGATGGCCTGAGGGTGACAGGAAGGGTACACAACACCAACAGCTCTAGTCCTTTGCCCCATATACACAGTGAGGAACAGGACCAATTTGAACAATCTGTAATTTGAGCCAGGGGCGGGGGGAAGCAAAAGTGTCCCCTCCCCAGTAGGGCATTTCTTCCTTATTGTAGAAAAGACAGGCGGCAGCATCAGGGTGTCTATTTATGGCTGCCTGTTGGCAGCTGGCCTTTTGCTCTCAGAATGACTTGCAACTGTCACTGTGTGCAGGAGTGAAGAAGGATCAGCACCCATCAAGCATAACACTAGTGCCAATGCCACCTCTGGCAGCAGTGGCACAAGTAAAGGGAATTTTAAATCCCTGAGGCCTTTGAATTGTGGTGCTGGGGAAGACTCCTGTGCGTTCCTTGGACTGCAAGATCAAACCAGTCAGTCTTAGAAGAGATCAACCCTGACTGCTTTTTAGAAGGCCAGATACTGAAGATGAAACTTAAATAAAGGTCCACCTGGAGAGGACCTTAATGCTGGGAACAATTGAAGGCAAAAGGAGGAGACAGCAGAGGATGAGGTGGCTGGATGGAGTCACTGGGGCAGTGGGCATGGGCTTGGGTGAATTCCAGGGGATGATGGAGGATAGGAGAGCCTGGAGGAGTGTTGTCCATGGAGTCATGATGGCTCGGGCACGACTTCACAAATAACATAACATAACATCAGAATACAACTTTTTGCACTTGGGTAAAAAATCTCCTCCCTCTGCACCTCCCCTCTATTTCAGGACAGAAGCTCTGCAAAAGAGTTCGCAAGCTCTGCGATGAGAAGCCCAACAAACACAAATCGAGAAAGGTGAGAATACCACACTTTTTAAGAGCACAGCGGAAACTCTTCCCTCCTAAAGTCTTATTGGAACAACATCCTGTTGGTCTGCTTGTGATATTGGAACCATTCCTGAACTTCTCTCCTCTGTTTTAGGCCATTCTAAGAACTGCATTTGTGTTTCCTGATGACTCAATGGTCAAACAGGCAACCCAAACAAGCAGTGATCTTCTTTACCTTTACTAAAACCAATTTAGTGTGCGCAAAGTCTCCCTTGCATGGTGTGTCCTTGCAACAAAACCATCAGCACTTCACTGATGAAAATAGGCCAGTTCATGCATGCACGAGGCATACTGCCATGTTTTCATGCCACTATTTATTTAGACTCTTCTGGGATTTCTCCTTTGCTCACTGCAATCCCGAAGTGGCATGCGGTAAAACAATATGAAGAATACAGTACATAGTAATGCAACACAAATGTTTGGACAAATTGGCAATGGAGTTCTCCCCACATTCAAGCAAGGTTACAACCGTATTCCACTGCATGAGGACAGGGAACCCTTTGCAAACATTCCTGCACTGCGTTTGTGTGCCTGGGGTTTATGGAGATGGTGCTGCACATACCTCTGCACCCTTCACAATTACTGTCTTCCTGTGCGCAAAAAGAGTCTGAACATGACTTTTAAATGAGCAAAGGACATTTTCAAAAAGCTCTAGCCAGAACCCATACATAATTTCACTAGCTTGTCATGATGTGGATATTGAACGCAACTGATGAATCTAACTATAAAATGGTAGGGTAGGAAAAGGAACAGATCAATAACTCTACAACCAAAGCTGACTTCCAATTATGGAATATATTTCTCCTCTTTCCCATTAGCAATGCCACATTCTGTTTTAATTCAGGACCTTGTAGGACACTTGTGGGCAGAAAGTAACATAGGCCGCAGACAAGTGCCTTGAGAACAAGGCATTACTTTGATTCTACTACTGAATTACAGTCACTCTGGGATTTCTGAGACCTGCTTCTTGCTGAGTGTTGCCAGCATACCTACTGGAAGAGTAGTCAGAAGCCAGTTCTCCAGTTGTTTGGAGCTTTCACTCCCAGAAGCCCTTGTCAGCTTGATCAGTTTCATTAAAATGGTCCTCTTTGGGTGACCCGGAAAGTCCAGGTTTCCTGTATATCTGGTGATAGCTGAGTATCACTTTCCAGCCTGAGATCTTAATTGAGGGAGTCACACTACTGTGATGAGCAGAGAGCACAAGTGGTAAGGGTGAAAATAAATAACTCAATATATTGTAGTGTCAATAATTACTCTTGCTGTGAGTAACTAAGCCTTGGAAAAAGCATTTCAAACTTTTAGAATGGAGATGATGACATGAAAGACAACAAAAGATTGCTGGTTGTTGGAGGAAGGGGATGAGGCCATCTGAGCAGCCTTACAACCAGAAACACCCACAACCTTGTCTAAAATAAAACTGATTTTAAAAGCACTTGAAACTAGATCAAAGTAATACATTCTAAATCATTGTAATTGCATTTATTTCTTTATATCATTTTCATGCCACCCAATCAAAGATGTCCTTTGAGTGGTTAAAAATTAAACATCCAACATCAATCAATGCAGACTAAAACAACTGCAGAACAAGTTGAATTGGTCAATAAAACCAGTAAGAGTAAAACCTTACATTAACCAAACAGAGTTGAAAGCACCAGTGCTCTTAAAATGACCTTGAAAGGGGAAATTCTTCACCCAGCATCAAAACCACGACACTGTTGTCTCCGAGCAACCATGATGCTTTAGGGTAGTCTTATTTGACCTGGCGCCTTCCAGGTATTTAGGAAGTCAATCTCAGTCTCAGCCAGTATGGCCAGTAGTCACGAATCCTAAGAACTGTCATCCAGAACATCTGAAGGGCACCATGGTAGGAAAGGCTACTTTAGACCAAGTGTAATCCACTCCAAAGCAGGTTCAAATCCACTCTACTAGGCAGATGAATCACCTATTAATGATAGTACATCAATTATATCTGAATTAAGCCTCTGTTATTGGTCCCCTGTCAGCTCAATCACTGTGCACAGGTATTAATCCACTCCTCCTATCCCCAGCAAAACCACCACCAAAATTTCACCTACTTTGTAAAAGAAACCAGAGAAAAACACAGCTGGACCTCTTGAGGGACAGTTCTTCATGATTTGGGAGGGGCATCCCACCAACAGGAGAAATGCTGGCCTTCCATCCCTTGAGAACACAGCTTGGATCTAGGCTTCAGGGCCAGCCATACTGTCTTCCAGTATGCGACGTTCCATCAGTATATGGGGACGGGGGCGGGGGCGTTCCCCACCCCAGCCCTAGTTTCACCCCTCCAGTCCGTTGGTGTTTCACAGTCATGGAATATGCCCAATCCTCATTCAACTACTTTTCAGATTCTGCCCTTAGGGATTTTTCAATGCTTCCTTTCAATATCCTTAATGATCCTCCGAATACTGCAGTTTGGTGGCTCCAGCATAGGTGGAATGGTGTATCCATTCTGGACAGTTATCTGACCTTCCAAAGAGCTATCCATGGTGCTGAATCCTGCTTTGTATCACCAGCACAGGTTCAGCACCATGGATAGTTCTTGAAAGGCTTAGCCCAAAGCCCGGTGTGGATCCGCTGTCCCACCAACATCAGATCCACCAACCACCATGGCTTCTGCACCTGCTGATCTCTCCCCTGTCAGGCATAGCCAGTGGTTAGAGAATGAGTTTGCAATTAGTACATATAGGATAGACTTTTGGACTGTGCCTGCAGGTTGAAGGTGATTGAGGGGGAAAAAAAGAAAAGATGAAAGAGCACAGTTCAGTTGAAGAAACACTAACCAAGAAAGAGAAATCAGAAGAGAGACAGAAACAAAGACAAATTCAGATGCCGACACAGATAAGACAAAAAGCAGACAGCATAATACAAAAGGGAAGTGAATGCATACGAGAGAATCAGAGACAAAGGAAGCAGGAGGGAGTCGCGAGTCACTTCTTAGAGAGAAAATGCTGCTGCTGCAGCTGGGAGATAAAGAATGATTCCAAAATCTTCTGCCCATTACAGATAACTAGAAAGACAGGGCCCATCATATCGAGTGAGTGATGTTAGGTGCGATAATAATAGCACCTGGGGCACAGCCAGCTATAAAAATCTAAAGGGACATATTGTGTTTGATAGCTGGAGAGCAGCTTTGCAATTCACAGTGCACCCCTAATAAAAGCGAAGAAGCGGCAGCAGCACTGGGCGAGAATCGCTACAGAAGGAAAAGAGATGCAAGTGCACACCAGGATGCCTTTGGAGCAGCATGGGGCAGCCTCGGTGTGATTTGTGACTGAATGACTCCTGCCAAGGAAAAAGGGAACAAGAGCTCTGTGCGTGTGCGTGTGTGCGTGCATGTCCATTAGTTATGGAGTTTCTTGTCTGAGTTCTCCGGAGAAGCAGTTTTTAAAGCAGGAAGTCATCCTTCTCTCCACAACACCAAAAGATCATGCCATATTAACACAAGTAACAGTTCGTTAGGTAGTACTTTTCAAGGGATTTCCGGAGCAGGCTGGGAACCATACCTTGGCATCCTTGGGCAGCTGCCAGGAAGCTAAGCGTGTTGGGAGGGCCCACCAGCCCAGCGGTTTGCTCCTGGGATTAGGCCAATCTATCCACCTATTGTTCCTAGTTTGTCTGTTTATATAACAGATTTTAAGCCACCAAGCACTTCCAATTGCACAGGAAGCTTGCGGGGGACACTAGATCAGGGTGTTTTGGAGAAATATGAATTGGAGGATGGCCCTTTCCCACTGATCTTGTCATTGCCTGCCTTGCTGCTTTTTGTGAGCTTATGTGGGTGGGATAGGAAAGGGAGGAAGCCGGGGCAGATGCTGGGAGGAGGGGTGGCATCATGCAGTGCTTCACCAAGGGCTCCATGAACCTGGTAGGTAGTCTTTTACACAGCAGCACCATACTTTGTCGACAAAAGGACACATGTCCATGCCAGTTGCATATGCTAATTTACAAGCATACCTGCAAATCTGTTTCATTTTGGACTATATCATCACCATTCCACTTTGTGAAATTCTATCACAAGGTGGCTAGATGGAGGGAACATGGTGGATGTGATTTCCCTGGATTTCAACACAGACATGGACCAAGTGCCACATGATATCCTAGTTGAGAAATTGCAGAATTTGGGGATAGACCAATGCACTGTCCAGTGGATTAGGGCATGGTTGACAGACCAAAAGCAGAAGGTAACTATTAGTGGGGAATCATTGGGATGGTGACCAGTGACAAGTGGGGTCCCCCAGGGCTCTGTTCTAGGACCAATCCTGTTCAATCTTTTCCTCAATGACCTGGAAGAAGGGGTGACCAGTCTGCTGATCAAATTCTCAAGCAATACTAAAATGGGGGTGGTGGCCACAACTAAGGAACAGGTGCTTCATATCCATAAGGATCTGGACAGACTATGGGAGTGGGTGGGAGACAACAGGATGGCGATCAATGTGGATAAGTGCAAGGTCTTGCACTTGGGGCACAGGAATGGGTGTCATAAGTACAGGTTAGGGGACAAGTGGCTGGAGAGCAGCACTTGTGAAAGGGATCTCGGGGTGCTGGTTGACTTCAGGCTAAACATGAGTCAGCAGTGTGACGCAGCAGTCAAGAGGGCAAACGCCACCCTTGGTTGCATAGTCAGAAGTGTGGCTTCTAGATCGAGAGAGCAATTACTGCCACTCTATATGACTCTGCTGCACCCTCAACTTGAGTATTGTGTTCATTGCTGGGCTCCACATTACAGGAAGGATATACCCAGGTTAGAACTGGTGCAGTGTAGGGCCACAAAGATGGTGGCCAGATTGCAGGAAAAGCCATATGAGGTGAGATTGAGGGAACTGGATCTTTTCAGCCTGGAGAAAAGGAGACTTTGAGGGGATCTGTTGGCTATATAGAGGAATGTGAGAGGGTGTCACAAGGAGGTGGGTGGAGACATGTTCTCCCTTGCAGGGCAGGATGCACTCCAGCGAAGCAAAACTCAGGAAACCAAGGTTCAATTTGGATGCCAGAAAGTACTTCATGACAGTTAGGATCTCTAGGGTATGAAATGGGCTTCCACAGGAGGTGGTTGAAGCCTCATCGGTGAGGATGTTCAAGGACAGGCTGGACATGCACATGGTAGGCTTGTCATAAGCAGAGCCGGTTGGAATTGGGGGTCAGACTAGATGACCTGTGAGTACCCTTCTAATTTGCTCTGTTTCTATGTTTAAAGTTTACAAGTTATGAAATAGTCAGAACTGATTTTCCATTGCCACTTTTTGTGCAGAACTAACCAGTGTTAGCTTGAGCATCACTGCCATTGTCTGAGTAAGATCCTCTACCAGTATCAGCTTCAGGTACAACTTCTGCCCAGTAGTTGCCCTTCAGATAATTCTCCAGCCCATCACCATTAGAAATGTCCCCTCTCTTCTGCTGAAGTGAACATTCCTTCTGAAGAGAGTAAATGCATCTTAGCCTGTTATTTCAGCTTTAAGTGGCTCGACTAGGAGACTAGACTAGTTCAAGGGTCTGGTGTCCTGGCAGCATTGCTCTAAGATTCCATGGCACCCTGGAACACCTCCATTACATTAAGGTGTGGATCCAAGAAAGAGAATAAAAATGAAAATATTAAATAGCAACCAAAATAAATAGAAAATATTAGAAAATGAGGTGAACACTGCTCTGAAAGAATTGAGGAATAGAACACCTGGGAATAGATATGCTATCGATAGAACTATTTCAAGCTGCAGATACTTGAATTAGTCCAAATCCTAACATGAATACACCAACAAATGTGGAAAATTAAACAACTGGAAATGTTCAATGTACACGCCAATCCCCAAGAAAGGAGAAGCAAGGGAGTGTATCAACCGTAGGACCACTGCATTAATCTTCCATGAGAACAAAGGGATGAGCAAGGTGTTGCACCAAATGATTTTATCGTCAGTAGAGTGAGAAATGCCTGGTGTTCAATCTGAGTTTTGAAAAGGAAGAGGCTCTTGAGCTCATATTGCTAATGAACGTTGGCTGCTGGAAAGTGCCAAAGAATTTCAGAAGAAGGTCATTCTATGCTTTACAGAGTACAGCAAAGCCTTTGACTGAGAACCACGAGAAGAAATGGATGGTCCTGAAAGAAAAGTGGAAGGGGGACAAGCCCTTGATTGTCCTGATCACTACCGTGAGGATGGAATATGGAGAAACAGAATGGTTTTCTATAAGGAAAGGGGTCAGACAAGACCATTTTGCCTCCCTATTTGTTCAATCTGTACACAAAATATATCATAAGGGAAGCTGGATTAGAATCAGAAGGAGGAGCGAAAACTGGCAGCAGATTCATCAATCAGATATGCAGAAGGTACAAGAGTACTGGCAGTGAACTGAATGACTCCAGATGAAAGTGAAAGAAGAGAGTGCAGAAGCAGGTCTGCAGCAGAACATTAAGAAAACAAAAATTTAGACTATGGAAGAATTATGCTAATTTACTCTCCACAACAAAAATTCTGAAATTGTGAAAGATTTTGCATAAATCTGCTCTGTCATCAATTCAAATTGAGATGACAGCCAAGAAATTCAAAGATTGAGATTTGGAAGGGCAACAATAATGGTCACCAAATTTAAGGATGTTTCAGTAGAGAACAAGGTCAAGATCATAGAAACAGAGCAAGTCAGAAAGGGTCTCCTGGGCCATCTAGTCTGACCCCCAGCTCCAGCCAGCTTAATTAATCATTCAAACTATTGAATGACTAATCACAATGGGATGCCTCCTGGTCATCACTGACTGAATTCCTCTATCTGGACCTTGCTCTGGCTCCTGCCCTGATTCCACAGTCTCTTCTCCTGTTTGTATTGCTGACCTGCCTTGACTACAGTATTGTCTAGTGGACTTGCCTCCTGCTTTCAGTACTCTCACTCTGACCTCAGACTGCTTGACTTGCTTAAGGATTGTTGTTTTAACATTGGCTTAGTTGCCTGGGTCCTGGTGCCCTGGCTGGTTATTCTGCTGCCCATGTCCCCCAGACTCTCTGAATGCCCAGGAGCAACTAGGTGGCTACCTTCCTGCAAGGTAACTTCACAAAACATTGTTCTACGGGATCAGCATCATTGGATACTCACTACATCCTAGCAGTAGCATGGCTGACCCCAAAGCAGCTGTTCTCCTCTTCCTTGCTGCTGCTTCCTGGTCATCTTCCCTATTCTGGAGTATGACCACTCAGAAGGAGAAAGAAAAGGAGCAACAACTGCTTTGGCTTCTCATTTTCCACAGTGGTACAAAGGGGGCCCAGAGGTAACTGAAGCAAGCAAGTGAATATGCAGCAGTAAAGAT